TTTAATATATGCTTTTAGGTCTTCAGGGTATGTTTGATGAAATTGGGTGTTGACATTGGGTGCATATAGGTTGATAATTGTTATTTCCTTTTGGTCTATTTCCCCTTTTATTAGTATGGAATGTCCTTCTTTATTCTTTGATCAATGTAGGTTTGAAGTCTACTTTGTCAGAGATAAGTATTGCTACTCCTGCTGTTTTTTCGGGGCCATGGCTTGGTAAATCTTCCAGCCTTTCATCCTAAGCCTATGCTTATTTCTGTCGTGAGATGGTCTCCTGTAAGCAACAAATTGTTGGATCTTCCTTTTTAATCCATTTGTCAAACGGTGCCTTTTGATGGGAATTAAGTCCATTAACATTAAGTGTTAGTACTGATAGGTATGTGGTGATTCCTGTCATTTAGTTGTCTTAGTTGTTTGAAGGTTTGATTGTGTGTACCTAAGTTGAGTTACTCTCTACTTCTTGCTTTTTCTTTTCCTGTGGTTTGGTGCTGCCTGCCTTTTCATGGTTAAGTTGGGTTTCACTTTCTGTGTGCAGAATCCCTTGAAGAATCTTTTGTAGTGGTGGCTTTGTGGTCACATATTGTTTTAGTTTCTGCTTATCATGGAAGACTTTTATTGCTCCATCTATTTTGAATGATAGTTTTGCTGGGTAGAGTATCCTGGGGTTGAAGTTATTTTCATTCAGTGCCCGGAAGATCTCACCCCAGCTCTTCTTGCTTTTAATGTTTCTGTTGAGAAGTCTGCTGTGATTTTGATGGGTTTACCTTGTATGTTATTTGTTTTTTCTCTCTTACAGCCTTCATATTCTTTCTAGTTTCTGAACTTGTTGTTTTAATGATAATATGCGTGGGTAGTTCTATTTTGATCTGGTCTGTTTGGTGTTCTGGAGGCCTCTTGCATCTGTATGGGATATTTCTCTAGATTTGGGAAATTTTCTGTTATTATTTGTTGAATATATTACGCATTCCCTTTGCTTGCACCTCTTCTCCTTCTTCGATGCCCATGATTCTCAGGTTTGGTCTTTTGATGGAGTCGTGAGTTCTTGCATTTTTCTTTTCACAGGTCTTGAGTTGTTTAATAATAGTTCTTCAGTTTTTCCTTTAATTACCATTTCATCTTCAGTTCTGAGATTCTGTCTTCTGTTTGTTCTATTCTGCTGGATTGGCCTTCCGTTTTGTTTTGCAGTTCTGTTTCATTCTTTTTTCTGAGGTTTTCCATATCCTGGTTTTCTTATGTTGTCTATTTTTGTCCTGAGTTCATTTATCTCTTTATTAATTTGTTCTTGTTTCACTTTTGGTGTTTATACAGTGCTTTATGGTTTCTTTATTTCTTTCTTTTGCTTTTCAAATTCTTTATTTTGTTGTCTTGGAATTTCTTGAGTGTCTCCTGTACATTTTGGTTGACCATATCCAGTATCATCTCTATAAAATTCTCATTGATACTTTAGTATGTTCTTTTAAATTATTCTTGTGGGCTTCATTGGGTCTTGGCATAGTTTATCTTCTTTTGTTGGAGTCTGGATCTGAGTATCTGTTTTCTTCATTTCCCTCTGGTTCCTGTACTAATTTTTTGCTGTGGGGAAAACTGGTTTCCCGTTTTTTTCTGTCTTCCTGTCATTGTCCCTTGGTGTTGTTACTGTCCCTGTACTGTGGTGAATTAAGTATTTTTCTAGCTTGTAATAATAACAATGTATATTAGAATGGAAGGGTGAGAGAGAGGGAAAGCAAGAAGTTAAAGAAAAGGGGAAAACAATAAAACAAATAAAAAACAAACAAAAAAAAACAGCAAATATGAAAAAAAAGAGTTAGTGGTCTAATCAATGGTACGCTAAACAGGCATTAGAGCGAGGAATAAAAACTCCAAGTTACATGCAATTAACAGTCTGAAATAATTTTGGTGTTCTCTCTAAACTGAAAGAGAACACCCACAGAGTGGGAGAAAATATTTGCCAATATACATCAGACAAAGGACTGATAACCAGAATATACAGGGAACTTAAAAAACTAAATTCTCCCAAAACTAATGAACCAATAAAGAAATGGGCATGTGAACTAAACAGAACTTTCTCAAAAGAAGAAATTCAAATGGCCAGAAAACACATGAAAAATGCTCACCATCTCTAGCAATAAAGGAAATGCAAATTAAAACCACTAAGATTCCACCTCACCCCTGTTAGAATAGCCATCATCAGCAACACCACCACAACAGGTGTTGGCGAGGATGCGGGGAAAAAGGAACCCTCTTACACTGTTGGTGGGAATGTAGACTAGTACAACCACTCTGGAAAAAATTTGGAGGCTACTTAAAAAGCTGGACATCGATCTACCATTTGATCCAGCAATACCACTCTTGGGGATATACCCAAAAGACTGTTACTCCAGAGGCACCTGCACATCCATGTTTATTGCGGCACTATTCACAATAGCCAAGTTATGGAAACAGCCAAGATGCCCCACCACTGACGAATGGATTAAGAAAATGTGGTATCTATACACAATGGAATTTTATGCAGCCATGAAGAAGAACGAAATGTTATCATTCGCTGGTAAATGGATGGAATTGGAGAACATCATTCTGAGTGAGGTTAGCCTGGCCAAAAGACCAAAAATCGTATGTTCTCCCTCATATGTGGACATTAGATCAAGGGCAAACACAACAAGGGGATTGGACTATGAGCACATGATAAAAGCGAGAGCACACAAGGGAGGGGTGAGGATAGGTAAGACACCTAAAAAACTAGCTAGCATTTGTTGCCCTTAACGCAGAGAAACTAAAGCAGATACCTTAAAGCAACTGAGGCCAATAGGAAAAGGGGACCAGGAACTAGAGAAAAGGTTAGATCAAAAAGAATTAACCTAGAAGGTAACACCACGCACAGGAAATCAATGTGAGTCAATGCCCTGTATAGCTATCCTTATCTCAACCAGCAAAACCCTTGTTCCTTCCTATTATTGCTTATACTCTCTCTACAACAAAATTAGATAAGGGCAAAATAGTTTCTGCTGGGTATTGAGGGGGGAGGGGAGGGGGTGGAGTGGGTGGTAAGGGAGGGGGTGGGGGCAGGGGGAGAAATGAACCAAGCCTTGTATGCACATATGAATAATAAAAGAAAAATGAAAAAAAAAAATAAAATAATTTTGGTGTTCATCCCTCAGACTCCAGTTCTGGAGATAGTGTCTCAGAAGTAGTTCTGTCATTGTCGCTCATAAAAGGGGAAAAAAAAACAAAAAAACAAAACATCAACAAAGTGCCCCAAGTTCAAATGCAATACAGTTCAGTTAAGTTTTTCAGCCATGCAAGGTGTTGTTCAGTTTTGTCTCATCAAAAGAAGAGGGAAAAAAAGTCTGGAGACCAGCAGCACTGTGAAGTCTGTCCTGAGGCTGTGGCTCACCTGACCGCTTGCTGTCATCCTGCTGTTGCTGGAGGCTTAATTTAAAATGCAGATCTCAGGAGGGAGCTTAACAGTCACGTAGACCCTCAGGCTTTGTTTACTTAGAGTTCTCCTGGGCAGAACCACCACTGTTACAAGCTTTCCCCTTTCCAGGCACACTGGCAGAGGTGGTGCTACACCCGCCTTCTCCGGCCAGCGTCTTTATTTACAGATCACGTGGGAAGTGACCCTTCTCCCTGTCCTGTGGAGCTTTCCTCCCACCACCACTTTTACAAGTTTTCCTGCTCCAAGGTTGCTGGGCAGGTGCTGCCACTCCTGCCTTCTCTGGCCAGCTTGTTTATTTACAGTTCCATGAGGGATTGCCCCTCCCCCCCTCAGTGCTCAGGGAACCCCGCCCTCTGTGCTGTGTGTCTTTTTTGTTATTGTTTATTCAATTTCCTTTTTTTCTCTTTTTTCCCTGGGTGGGGGTCAGTCTGTCTAGGGGGCTATGCTGATCTGGCCCAGGGTTGTCTGTGGGCTTACCACGGTGGCACTTAGCTCAACCTTGTGGTCTGCATCTTCGCAGCGTCTGGGCGCTGTGTCTGGCAGCTGTGGAGCCCTCCTGGTTTCTCTGTTTAAACGTGGAGTGGTTTAATGCTATGTGGCGGGCTGGGGGGTGCGGAAGGAGTCAGGTTTTGCCTCTTCTTCTTGTGGTTTTTTCCCTGGTAAGGTGTATCTCCAGCGTCTCTCCAAGATTTTATTTTAGGAAGCACGCTTTCTGCTTCCTCCCTCTAGTTGCCATCTTGGAATCTCCCTGAAACTTATTCTTATAGATACCATTAGAAAAGACTTGAAGAACCTGAACTAATAGAATTCAAGTTGGAAGAAATCCTAAAAATAATTTTCTAGAAAATAGCTAAATTATTCTATGCGTGCTCTACAAAAGAAAAAGATATGAGAACTCTCCTTCTGAAATATTACAAAATTTTAATAATACTTTCAGAATTCTCTACAATGAAATCTCTTTACACTGTAGTTTGTTGGGCTTTTCTTGCTCTGGTGAGACAGAAGAGTTGTTCTGTCACATATCCTTTATACTCTTAGAATAAAATCATGAGGCTGAGCATGTAGCTCAGTGGTAGAACACTTACCTAGAATGCCAGAGGCCTGGATTCAATTCCTAGCCACCAAAAAGAAAGAATAAAATCATTGTCTGCCCTCAGCCTTCTTATCACCAGTTTTTTCATCTTTTCTTATGGTTCCTGTTTCTCTACTTTTACCTTGTGGTTCCTTCTAAAAATATTAATTTCCTGTACTGCTTCATACATTTTTTTGGCAGTGTGGAGATTGAACCCAGATCCTCACACTAGCTAGCCAAGTGCTTCTCTGCTGCTTTGTTTGAATAGCACTTTGTAAAGTCTAAAGCATTTTGCAAAACTAGGTTATTTCATTGTTATGAAAATGATAGACCCTTGAATTACACTCTCACAAAAGTGGTCCCATGCTTGTTTTCAATGGTTCTTGGACAATCGATGGTATTACTGAAAATTTCTAAGTCCATGTTTTAATATTCTGTGGTCCATATTTCTCCACTTTTCTAATTCTTCAAACAAAATTTCTTTAAATTCAGCTCTGATGAACATACACCAGTAGAGGATGAAGAGCCAAAGAAAAGCACTACTTCAGTATCTAGTTCAGAAGGTATGTTTAAAATACAGAACTTATTAATTGAGAAGATTAAAAAATAAGTATAAATAGTTGAATATTAGACTTTACTTTTACTCCAGTTGCCAATCATCTATTCTTTTTCAGTATTTCAAATACAATAAAATTGTTATTCAGAAATACTTCTTTATAAAGGAGTTAAACTTCTTTATAAGCCAGTTTTTTATTTGTACTTACTACAGATGAAAAAAAGAAGAGGAAGAAATCTAGTCATTCTAAAGAAAGGTCCAAAAAAAGAAGAAAGAAAAAATCATCTAAAAGAAAACACAAAAAGTATTCTGAAGAGAGTGACAGTGACTCTGATTCTGATACAGACTCCAGTGGTAAGAAACCAACATCATCCTGCAAGCCTTGCTTTAAAACTAGGTTTACTTCTTGAAACTTATTTTATAGGAAGATTCTTAAAACAATAATAGCCAAGAGTTTCTGGGTGCTCACTGACTTTGTGCCAGGCACCCTGCTAAGAGCTTTATGTTCACTCTTGCTACTTAGTCTACACAATAATAGCATCTTATACATGAGGAACTGGGGCCACAGAGCAGGTGGTAAGTCCCACACCCAAAGTGCAGTTGGGATTCAACTGACTCCATAACAGTTGTGCAAAGTTGTACAAGGCACATGGCACCAATCAACTCTGGAGGTTGGGCTGAAAGACATGTGGTGTCAAAGCAGCCCATACTGGGTGTATCTGCCCAGTGGAAGGCTCTTTTGTGCAGTTCTCATGCCCTGTAGGCACCTCTACATTTTTAAGAGTCACACTATAAATACCCCCTTCAGGCTGGTTGCCAGTTGATGGAAGGCTTTCCATCTGCGGTGGTACATCACAAAAAGCTACCTTGAAATTTTATTAAAGCCAGGTGTGGTGACACACACCTAGAATCCAAGCACTTGGGAAGCTGAGGCAGGAGGATCAAGAGTTTGAGATCACCCTAGGCCGCATAGTGAGTTCCAGGCAAGCCTGTGCTATAGCAAGATGCTGTTACCAAAAAAATCAAAAGCAAAAAATTATTTATCCAACTTGTTCTTAAATGTGTTGAAACATAACAGTAAGTATGGTATTATGTTATTTCTCTAATCATATTCTTATTTTTATATTTCCCTAATTTTCTGTAATTACATGTTTAAAAGGTACCTTATTGTACCCTCTACTGTCTGATGATTGACCAAATTGTGTCTCTTTTGTGGTTGACACATTACACAAAGACACCTCTTCCTCTGATCACACTTGGGTTTCCTGGCTCCCATTGTCACTTTTTCACTGCTAGAAGACTGAATTCTCTTAAATGAAGCACAAATCTGGGGCTAGGAATATAGCTTAGTGGTAGGTGCTTCCCTAGAATGTGCAAGGCCCTAGGTTCGATTCTCCACACCACAAAAAAAAAAAGCTCAAATCTGAACATTTCCCCTACTTAAAGTCCTTCCATAGCTCTCCATCACCTTCAAGGTAAAGTGAAGACCCTAACTGATCCCTCTCTCTATCATTCTGTCTTGCACCATGCTCTGTAGTCTGTGCTATTCTGTATCCCCTTAGTATTCCATGCTTTCTCTTGATTCTGTCACTTGTACACAGAGGCCCTTTGCCTACAATGATGGTGTCTACGTGCATTCAGCTTGGCTTATTCATTGCAGTGATGGACATGCATTACTTTTGTAATAAACTGATTTTGAAAAAACTAGCTTAAGAGTCACCTCTTCCTGGTCAACTGTTCCTCAATCACTCTCCCCCAAATCAATCTGGTTTTGAGAATCCACTGTATGTCCCGAGCACCCCATGCTTCCCTTTGTTACTCTGAATTGTATTAATCTCTTTACACGTCTCTCTCCTCCATTATGCTGAGCTTCTGGAAAACATTGCCCTCCTCTGCCATATAGACATAGGATTTACTTTTCATTATGAAATTTTTCAGAAAAGTAAAGGGAATAGTGGTTTTTTGAGACAGGGTCTCTTTGCTATGTAGTCTGCTGGCCTCAAACTCGTGATCTTCCTACTTACCACTCATGTTTAACTTTTGTTAGCATTTTGACATATTTGCTTCAAATGTGTGTTTTTTGCTGAGGTGTTCAAAGTAAATTATGTCATCACTCTTTTAGGTTAAATATTTCTATATGCATCTCTTTTTAAAAGGACATTTACCTGCTTAATCATAATGTTCTTAACTCACTGAATAAATTAGTAGTAATTCCCTATATCATCTAATACCTAGTGTGACTTTAATTTTTATGTTCCCCATACCTAGTACAGTTTGTGGCAAGTTGCAATAAATGTTAGAATAAATTAATTTCTCTATAAACAAGACAGCAATAGAATGTGTACTGAAAAATACTGGGGTTTTAGAATTTAAAATTGTTTTTCAATTATAATGTGCTTTAATTTTCAGATGAAGATACAAAAAGGAGAGCAAAGAAAACTAAGAAAAAAGAAAAGAGGAAGAAACGCAGATCGTCAGTTTTTCTTTAATTTTTTGGAAAAGTTAAAATGTGTATAAAAATTACATAGTATAATAATGTAATAATTTCTGATGTACCCATCTCCCAGTTTGATCAACTCATAGGCAATCTCTACCACCAGCCCGCAGGTTTTTTGGGGACTAATCAAAGATATTATCCCATCTATAAGCAATTTGGCACCTTTGTCTAAGTGACAGGCATTCTTTAAAAAATGTTTTTCTCATGCCTAAAATATTTAACTATAATTCCTCAATTCTTAGTTTTTTCTACAGTTTATTCACATCAGGAACCAAATGTCCATAAATTACAATGATTGTATAGTGTCCACTAGCATGTTCTTCTGACCTCTGTATTTCCTGTAAAGTGATAGGTCTAGAGGATCAGATTTGAGTTTTGGGAAACAGTACTTCATAGATGGCGCTGTATACTTCCATCAAGAGGCAAACAATGTCTGGTTGTCTCTTTGTGCCACATTAGCGGCCATTAATGGTAATTATATCATTAGGGATTACAAAATGGGCATAGTTTAATTGGAGCTTTTCTTCTTCACTAATTAGGCAGGATAATTCTATAAGAAAAACTTCCCCTCATCAACTAACTATTTAAACACCCTAAAGTACGGTTTGTATAGGATAGGCAAGATAATTGCCTGATTTTTCTGTTTTATGTGTTTTTTACAATAATGAATGAGGTTTTATTAGTATTATGAACCCAAGGATTTAAACATATTTCATATATTTTAATTCATTACACTCAAAATTATTATTAATGCTCAAAGTGGTAAGAGCTGTTTTTAAGTTGTTTTATTTCAATAGAAATCTTTCTACATGAGAACTATATTGCATTGTTCCTTTACTGATCTTTTCTAATAGTAAAACATGATTTGTGTTAGTTTTTTTAATTAAAATTCTTCTCTAGCAAATTTGAATAAGCTGGGAATTGAAAAACATTTTTGTCAGTCTTTTCATTACCTTGAAAAACTAACATGCCCTTTAACATGGTACTATGTAGTGAATTGTATCAAATTATAAATCCTACAGGAAGAAATACAAGAAAAAGAAGTCTAAGAAGAGCAGAAAAGAGTCTAGTGATTCAAGCTCTAAAGATTCCCAAGAAGAATTTCTGGAGAATCCCTGGAAGGATCGGGCAAGTAGGTTCTCCTGATAAACTTTAACTTAGAACAGATGAAACAAAGTAACTGATTAGTCAAAATGTGAATATGTTTCTGAACATCTTTCATGCAGAGGCTGAAGAACCCTCAGATTTAATCGGTCCAGAAGCTCCAAAAACACTTGCCTCTCAAGATGATAAACCTTTGAAGTAAGTAGCAGTGTATTTATAATATCTAAAGTACCTTCCAAAATGTATTGCCCTACCTTACCTTGCCAAACTTATCTCCATCTACTTCCTTATTTATACACCAGGTTCCAACTGAGTTGGACTACTAAAAGTTCCCGGTGTTTATTGCACACTCTCCCACTTTTGTGCCTTGTTCAGCTATTTCTTCCTCCAATCCCTGCCTCCAATCTCTTCCTGTATTCTTCCCTACCTTTAATCTCTTCCTGTTAAAATCCTTAAATGCTCTTCAAAGCCCTGTTCAAAAAGGAGGAAGCACATGATGATTCTCAATACTTTTCTTCACAAGTAGTTGTGACTTCTACCCCTCCTTAATCCTCACAGCATTTTCTACTTTTAATGCAATATATTATATATTTACCTTGTATTACAGTTGCATCCTTATTAATGTGTCAGTTCCACAAGGACAGAGATTATTTTCTATTACAAGCTCAGAGTTTAATATGTAGGCAAGAAATATTCACTAAATTGAATGAAGGGATAGTAGTTTTTAAAGTCCCTTTGGCTCAAAGGTATTTGGTAATTGTTGCTGCATAGCAAACATTACTGGTTATAAGTCCAAAAATATGTTAATTTGAGATACATTACTTCTTTGGGCTTTCTAAGGGAAAAAAAGATAGGGAAGGAGAGATGGAAGCAGAAGCAATAATGGCAATACCTGCAGGGATAAATTAACCCACAATTATAAACTATGGATCTACATTTAAATCAGTTCTTTTGTTCTTTCAAAGTATTTATGAATTTCTGACTTAATACAGGTCACATTGCAATGTTCACTAATTAAAATAAAGTAATTCACATCAGGCTTCCCAGCACACTTCTGCTCAATACTATTATTCCTACAGCTGTCTGAGAAAAAATGTTTTATGCTTTCTTTAGATGATGAGCTTTTTATATTGTGGTGCTTTAATGGATCTCTTCTGAATTCCAAATTACTTTGTAGCTATGGCCATGCTCTGTTACCTGGTGAAGGTGCAGCTATGGCTGAATATGTAAAAGCTGGAAAACGTATCCCACGAAGAGGTGAAATTGGCTTGACAAGTGAAGAAATTGCATCATTTGAATGTTCGGGTTACGTAATGAGTGGTAGCAGGTATGTTCTTGGCATTGAGCTCAGTTTCCATAATTAGTTTCTTTCCTTCTTTCTTACTACTAGAATTATATTTTGGTAATCAATTTTCATTAAGTGACTATTTCCTAATGTAAAGTATAGTATGAATATTGGCTTGATAATGGTTTTATTGGTATAAACATACTTAGCAAAAGTTCCAAGTATGCATGGAACTCAACTATATCTCCAACTTCAAAGAGTCTCTATTTCCCATATACTTTCCTAGTTCTTATTTTGATGCAGATATTTTATCCACTAGAAGATATACTTAAGTTCAACTATTTATCATAGTCCCATGAGGAATATGGCATTTTAGGAGTTAGGAAAGCATTTTCACAGGACAGTGTTTCTTGGTTTTTGAGGTTGCCTCCAATTCTCAATGGACTCAGGTGTCTGAGAAAGAATAGCAGACAAGGATTATGAGAGATTCCAGGTTGGCCTGAGGAAATGAATATAAAAGTAGGAAAGAGATAGCAAAAGACTAGAAAGAAACAAGGGAATAGGGATATTAGTACTAAGATCAAGTTGAATTTTAGATTCTTTAAAACTTTATAAACTTCTTAAAGTGGTTAACTATTTTGAAATGGCACTGGAGGCAAATATTTGCAAAACTGCTGAAGTACCTCCAGAAACTTGGAAAGCTGAGGACCAACATTTGAAGCATCATTTCAGAGGATCAGAATAAAATGAAAAGTTATTAGAGGCACAAGGTTTGGAAAGGAGGATACAACACGATCACTTTTTGTGATTGATATGGCTGTTTGCATAGAAAGTCCCAAAGAATCTTCAGATGAGTTATAAATATAGATGGGCTACACAAATAGTTTTATATAAAGTTAATACAAAAAAATCAATTACATGTCTATATACCAGCAACAGACTAGAAAATGTAATTAAAGAAAAACAAAACAATATTTATAATACTATCAGAGAATATGAAGGATTTAGGGATACATCTTAAACAAAAGATTCCCAAGACTTCTATAGGGAAAACTATAAAACATTGTTAAGAAACCTGTAAGTGGAGAGATACCATGTTCACAAATAAGAAGGCAATATTGTAACATCAGTTCTTCCCAAATTGATCTATAGATTTGGTAAAATTCTATTCAAAATCGCAGTAGTTTTGCATAAAACATAATAAACTAGTTCTAAAATTTGTTAGACTAAAAGACTAAGGATAGCCATCATTTCTGAAGAAAAATGGGAAAGTGAGAATTGCCCTACCACAGATGAAAACTTAGGAAGATTACAGCACTTTAGAAAGCATAAGGAACAAAGAAATTATTCAATGGAATGAAAGACAGAGTCCAAGGACTGCCATACATGTATGGAATTTTGGTGTATGAAAGAGATGGCATGTCAGAGCAGTGGGGAAAGAAGGAACTATTTAGTAAATAGAACAGGAATAAAGGTTATCTGTACGGAGAAAGATCAATATAGGATTCTCAATCACAATATATAAAAGGCAGTGCAGCTAGACTAAGGACCTTAAGTGCAGCTATCTTTTAGACCTTGGGATGAAGAAGTGTTCTCTAAAAAAAACAAAAGATTCACTAAACATAAAATAAAATAATAAGCCAGACGCTGGTGGCTCACGCCTATAATCCTAGCTACTTCAGAAGCTGAGATTGGGAGGATCTCGGTTCAAGGCCAGCCCAGGCAAATAGTTCATGAGACTCCATCTCCAAGTTAGCCATAGCAAAATGAGCTGGAGGCGTGGCTCAAGCAGTAGAGCACCTGCTTTGCAAGCATGAAGCCCTGAGTTCAAATCCATTCCACCAAAAAATTTAAAAATTGATTAAATAAAATAATGATAAATTTGCCTAGGTTAAAAGTAAGAACTTATATTCATCGAGACACGTTAAAATAATGAAAATACAAATTCCAAACTGGAGTAAGATCTTGGAATACATACAACTGGTAATGAGACTATTTAAAGGATACTTACAAACTACCAAAAAGAAAAAAAATGTAATGACACAAACAGGCATTTATCAGAAGAAATACATATGACCTATTCTTACATAAAAAGATTTTCATTATCATGAAATGGAGAATCAAGAACTTAGTGAAATATATTTTACACCCATTTGATAGAGAAAAGTTCTAACAATGCTAAGCATTTGAACAGATGTAGATTGACTGGATCTCTTAAGTACTGCTAGTGGAAGTATACATTAGTGCACTTTAAAAAATAGCCTGGTATTATCTTGGAAAATTAAACGTTAGTATTGACGCAGCAACTCCATACCAGGGTACCTGAGAGAAAATCTTTCCCGTGTACTTGGAGACACATGGATGTTCATTATAGAATCATTTCTGTTTCAAATAAACTGCCCAGGGTCATTTCCTTCATTCTCCCGTCTTGCCACTCTCCCTACCTACACACTAATTTTAAATTATTCTCCCCTCATTACCCAGTTTTTTTTTTTCTGTTTTTCTAGAGGTAGGTCAAGTTTCTTAAACTGATCGTGTAAGGTAGGGTACATATACACAAAAGAGGCAGCTTTTTGTGAAATTTTCCCTCTAAATAAACTGGCTTTGTGAATATTGTGTCACAGTTTCCCTCTACCTCTACCCCTATATTGTACTGATCTGACATGCTAAATCCCTTGTTTCTTTGAGCTGCTACTGGGCTCTAAGGAAGTTAAACCTACCCACAAAACTCTTCAGTTATAGATTTCAACCTGGTTCTTTTGGTTGTATTGTTAGAGTAGAACCATAAAGAAGTGCCACATGATGGATGACAAGCTAAATCTTTCTTCTGTCCTATAGATTACACAAAGGAAAATGGACATATCACCTAGGAAGTGTAATAATTTTCCCATTTCTGGTTGTTTCATTAGAAACGGCTAAACTAGATTTGTGCTTTTAGTATTTGAAATTAGTGATAACATTCACTATGTAGACAGAGCATCAGAGATCATTATTTGAATACTAGAATCAAAGCACACATCAGCAGATAGAATAAATGATCTTTTAAGAACCCATTTCAAGTTTCCGTTTGTCAGCTTTTATTTTTTATTAGCACATATTAATTATACAAATGAGTTTAATTGTGATATTCCCAATACTTGTCAGCTTTTAAAATACACCATTCTGTATTAACAAATGATTAATGAGGACATTCTATAAGAATAATTATTGACAATTTTAAGCTAAAAATAAAATTATCTCCAGGCATCGCCGAATGGAGGCTGTGCGACTGCGAAAAGAAAACCAGATCTACAGTGCTGATGAGAAGAGAGCCCTTGCATCCTTTAACCAAGAGGAGAGACGAAAGAGAGAGAACAAGATTCTGGCCAGTTTTCGAGAGATGGTCTACAGAAAGACCAAAGGGAAGGATGACAAATAACTTTTTCTGACTTTTCAGCAGACATTTTTAACAACAAAATGAAATCCTGGGTTCCAAACATACACACAAAAAAGATTATTATGCTCTGGAATAGCTTTACAGTGCTACTGTGCCTTCTATTTAACTTTCAGTCCTTCATTAAAAGGCTGCTTACTGATATAACTTTAGTCATTTATTGGGTTATTTTGGATTGACTGTAACTTTCCGGCTTTAAAATCAAAATTGTGAATGAAATCTTACAGTATTAAGGGAGGTGACATGGAGAGAAAGTGTCAGAGAGATGAGAAATTTAAATCTCATGCCATGGTTCAGTGCTACTATTGGCTGTACACAATGCCCACCTCCACCTCAACTGAACTTGTGGGAAATTATCATTCCTTTGTATTAAATGTGTTATAAATGGACTTGATAGAAACTATTCAGGAGGCCACTTATGTCAACAAAATGAAGGCTTTGCTGTAAAAACAAATATGAAATTTGGAAACTGACTTATAATACAATATATATAATCTGCTCTGGAAATGTATTTTGGTTTAAGTCCCTACCTCCACTCTATAACCAACAAACAAAGGAAAAAGCAAGCTAAATCGCAGATTTGTGGAATTGAAAATACGAACATTAGATGTTTTAAATTCTTCATAAGATATTTCTTTCAAGGACTGGTGGTGTAGCGCACAGATAGTATGTTTAACATGTGGGAGGCCCTGAGTTAGATCAGCACCACAAAAAAAAAGTTCTTTCAAATGTAAAGTCTTGGGAAGTCTATTGCTGTGCTAATGTAAGTACATTATTTCTATCTAAGATATACTTTTAATGATAAGATACTATCTAAAAAGAATGATAGTCAACTGTTACTAAGAATGCTGACAGGAAAAATATAATGAATTTGTGTTTCAACTTACTTGTTTCATGAAGATGAAGCTAAAATTATATTAAACATTTTTAACTTTGTCCTTTATATGATAGACAGATTTTATTTTAAACATTGTTAAACTTTTTGGGGTTATTTATATCTGTTACTCAGTTGAACCCTAACTTTGTATAAAATCCCCTCACTTTATCACTCTTTTGAAAAGTGCAAATTGTAGGACTGTGAGATCATGATTTTTTTCCTTCCCTTATTTTGTTCAATTTTAGTTAGGTCACAAAAGTGAAGAGAGAGAACAATGGAGTTTTAGCTCCTTTTGGTCATGTTGGAAGGTTTTTTGTTGGTTTGGTTTGGTTTGGTTTGGTTTGACTTGGTTGATTTGTTTTTTAGACAAGGTCTTACTATGTAGCCCAGGCTGGCCTCAAACTCACTATTCTCCTGCCTCAGCTTCCTGAGTGCTGGACTTAAAGCCATGTGCCATCACACCTGACAAGCTTGGAAGGTTATTTTGCTCTCCATTTTTATTATATGCAATGATAAATTTAGATTAATGGGTAATGGTGAAATCTTGACTCAAATAATACAGCGCTTGTCTAGCATGCACAAAACCCTAGGTTCAATCCCTAGTACCACAAAAAAATAAAGTGATTTTTCTTCAGGTGTTTTTAAAATAAGACAGCTATATTGCAAAGAACAGAGCACAAGATTTTCTATTAACATATGTTCTAGGAAAATGTCTTTTAACCCACAACTACTGAACTAAACAGTAGTCAGTATGTAGTGATATTTATGACACCTGAAATTGAAGTGATTTCATTTTATCTATACTGCCTAGCCTGATGATTCTGTAGTTTCCAAACGTTAAAAGGAAACTAGGTTCCAAACTGGTCTTTGCATAATAAAAGTTTATAATCCCCACTTAAATGTTTTAGTTTTCTAAGGACATTTTTTTTGTTACTGGTTCCTAGAAACTGAATGAGTATGTTCTTTTATTTTTCATAGGCAAGGTAGTTTAAATGCAGCAATTTTGTGATATGTAAGTATTGTGAGTTTTTATTTTATTCTTCTGTCTCCTCCACAGAGTACTCAACAAATGTTTATTGAATAAATAAAAGGAAAAATAACAGTTTATTTCAGAACCTTACCGCTTTCTTCATCAAAGTTGTTTGGGAAAGGTCTACAAAGAAAAGCTTCAGTAACATATTCTTTGGGAAAGAAGAGGGAAGACTTAAAAGGGCTAAAAGCATTTTATTTTCAGCTTATGAGAATTACTGCTTCAAACTATGTTTAATCACCTGAGCCATGAGCCAAATAGTAGGACTGCTGTACTTTAAATACATTTTTGTTCTCCAAGCAGACTTATCTAGTTTCCCACCTCCTCATCTGATGCTGATAGGATTTTCCCTTCTTTTTAATTTATTGCACAAATATCATAGTAAAAAAAAGAAAAATTACTCACAGTCCTGCCACATCAATTTTCATTAGTATTCTGTATTCCTTCCCAGTGCTTGTCTACGTAAATACATATTCTGATGTTCTTATGAGTAGTCACTTAAAGTATAATGTAAATTTTGTCTTTGATGTTTTAAGATTTTGCAGCCAGGCAAGGGAACCTAACAGGGAAGATAGGAACAAGTGGTAATCTGGTATGAGAGTAGGAATAAGACAAGAAATAAATAAGGGTGGGTGACTGAACCTATTCCTGTTTTGTTGCCCCTGTCCTCAAGCCATCCTGCTAGCCATCTTGGGTGTGATGGTGTGTTTGTGGAAGGCAGCACACTGGGTTTTCAGAGTTTCAAAATGTATTGTTTAGCTGGGCACTGGTGGCTCACACCAATAATCCTAGCTGCTCAGGAGGCAGATATCAGAAGGATCACAGTTCAAGGGCAAATAGTTTGTGAGACCCTATCTCGAAAATACCCAACGCACGCACACACACACAAAAAAAATGGCTGGAAGAGTAACTCAAGTGGTAGAGTACCTGCCTAGCAAGCATGGACCCTTAATTCAAACACCAAAAAAAAGTATTGTTTAGAAGTGAGGCTTAGCTTCAGTAAACAAAGAGGTCTGTGAGTAGGACAACACTGCAGACTGGTTATATTATAAGCTATAGAACTCTTGCCATTTTGTTGTTCGGTGTGCCTATAAAAAGGTGTATCTGGCTAGAGTCTTAGGCACAGGATGGGGAACAAACAGACAAGTGAATTTTAACAATTCTCTAAACTCAGCTGTATACTTATAAAACTCTAAAGTGATGACATAATGATGGGGAAAATCTTTTAGAATACAAAAAACAACTTACTAGTTACTCTGTTAATATGATGGAAGTCGCAGAATGGAAAATGAATACAAAAAATACAGCTAGATCTATGCCACAAGTTTATTATTGAATAAATATTCTGTGGTTTGATGTGCAGAATCATATTTTTAATATATTCTGATTTCAAAAAGAATCCTAAAACATTATGTAAGAATCAGATAATTGAATTAGAAGGGGAGTGACTCCATTAAAATGTGTTTGGCCTCAATAATGTCCCTCAGCCATTTTTCTCGAAAGCGAATCATTCCTGGTCTATAGAGGAAGAAAAACACATCAAAAGTTTTTAAATCAAAACATTGAGCCAGGCATTCCCTCTTTGTTATATTCCTAGTGAGCAAGAAACCTCTTTTTTGGTGTGGGAAAGAGTGGCAAAAATTCTCTCTGTTTTTTACTGTTCCTTAGAGCCAACCAACAAAAGGATTAATGAGTTTACATGTAGAGTCTTTAAGAGAGCTACTGTGAAAATAAATGGGGTTATTATACGAGATTAATTCCATGTGATTGAATTTTCCTGTGGAAACAATAGATAGGACCTATTTTGCCCTCCCCCCCTTACTCCAGCAACTAATTTTCAAGTTTCTAATTCCTGGAAAACCAGGCACTAAGAAAAAGTTTTTTTAGAACAGTGGCAAAATCCTACTTTCAACCCATTCTAATGGGGTAGGTAGTCCAAAGAAGATTGTACCCACTACATGAGTCATCTGTAGCTATGGGCCTGATGGATTCCTGGAATATGATGACCTTTTCCCATCCTTTCAGAACAAGCTTCCAAATATTTATTACCTTTGAACTAATGCTTGGCCCTCAAAGACATAAGAGACATCAACAGGCATATCCTAAGAAGAAGAAAGACAGCAGCTGTCAGCCTAGACCAATCTTACCACCTCCTAATTCCTTCCCTCCCTATATAAAGATATATATATATAATTATATATAAATATAAAATTGTATATATATAATATGTTAATATATAATATATAGATTATAATATATATGATTTTATATAATTAATTATATATATAATTATGTATATATAGAATCTTTGAATTTCTAGACTTCATCTTCCTTAAAAATTTGGGAGTCTATGAGTGGTACTTCTTTATCACTTCAAAGCTATTCTGCAAAAGGTCTTTTGGGCCACAAATACCTTAAGCATCTCCACAAAACTGGAGACGAGTTGGCAGAGGCTTGTGTTCCTCATTAATAGAAGCTTGAATAAGTTATTTGCCTTTACATGCTCCAGTTTACTCAGCTGTCAATCTCTACCTCTTAGGAATGGCATCAGAAGGAAATGATACAGATGAACAAGGTTTGAAAACATTTTTGAGAGGGGGTCTCCCTATATTATCCAGATTGGTCTCAAATTCACTCAAGTGGCCCCCCACCTCAGCCTCCCTCACAAATGCTGAGAGTACAGGTGTGTACCACTGCACCTGGCAAATACATTTTTAAAGCAGCAAAAAAAAGGTATAGTTTATAATTGTCTCAGTGGTCCCCACCCATTCTTGCCTCCAAAATTAAGCTTGGAATTTTGAGCGAGAACCTTTCTCCTAAGACCTCTGTGGTCCAGCTCACTTCCACCAGCCTATTTCATAATCTCTAGCCTGGCCAGTCAGCAAGGCAGCTGAGGGAGGCAACAGATGACCAGGAAAAGTGAATCCTCCACCTATTGTACCTCTTTAGATTCCTCCAGGTTTTGAACTCTGAATAGATATGTTTGTTCTAGGAGAGAACGAATAGAGGACATACTTGGCTTACTGACTATGTGGTCTGTATATAAAGCATTAGAGTCAGACCAAAGCTCAAACAGCTTTTGTGAAAGGATGGGAAGTCAAAGGGTTTGAAATAACATTTTCTTGTCTACTGTGTCCCAAGTATTAATACTTGGTACCAGCCCTGTTCCTCTGGGGCTCCCTCCCATGGATTCATGGATGTTATTTTGGCCCTTTTCACACCAGCTATTAAGTCATAGTTCTTATTCATGGCCACAAACAGTACTTCCTTCAAGTTTAAAGAGCCTCCTATTTTTCAGGCCTAGATTTATAGCAAGACAAAAATACCTGCCTTTATGGAGTTTGCATTCTAGTGTAGGATCAGACAATAACAAAATAACCAATTGTATCTCTTCGAAGGTAAATAGAGTATTATGGAAAAAAAAAGCATGAGGGCAGAAAAAGGCTAGAAAGTGCAGGAGAGGCTGAATATGGTGGAGTATACCTGTAATCTCAGCACTGCCTTACAGAGTTTGAGGCCAGCTTGGGCTACACAGTGAGAAAGGAAAGGAAAAGAAAGTACAGGAGAGGAGGAGAGAAAACAGGTAGTGCATGTGCCTAGGGGAGAGTGTACAAACCAGAAAGAACAGCAAGTGCAAAGGCTCTGAGGCAAAGCTATACATGGCTTATTTGAGGAATAGCAAAATCAAAGTGGCTGGGGCACAGTGAGTGAGGGAAAGAGGTAGTGGAAAAGCAGAAATAACAAGGGACCAGATCACACAAGGCCCCGTAGGCCCTTACTATTAAAACTTAAGTCTCTGGACCTGTAGTGTCAGCATTGCCTGGGAGCCCTGCCCCAGAGCTGTGGAATCTGAAGCTTCATTTTAACAAGATCCCCAAAGAATTTGCATGTACTTTAAAGTCTGAGAAGCACTTTCAAAAAGTCCTGCTTTGGGTTTTTTTGTTTGTTTTATGGGACTGGAGTTTGATCAAGGCTTCATGCTTGAAAAGTAGGCACTCTACTGCTTGAGCCACACCTCCAGCTCATTTTGCTCTGGTTATTTTGGAGATGGGGGTCTCACGAACTATTTGCTCAGGCTGGCCTCGAACCATGATCCTCCTGATCTCAGCCTCCCCAATAGCTAGGATTATAGGCGTGAGCCATCAGCACCCAGCTTCACTTTTGCAAAGATTTAAACAGAAATTCACTTTACATGGCTCACTCTAACTGACTGTTATTATTGAGACAGAATAAGGGAAAGGATGGAAGCAGTGAAACCAGTTAGCAAGCTATGAGAATAATGTTGGTGAGAAAGGATGGTGTCTTGGACCAGGGTGGTAAAAGTGCAGTAGTAATAAATTTTGGGGTTATAGATATATCCTTGAAGCTAGAGCCAACTGGGTTTCTTAATGGTCTGGATAAAGGGGTATGAGAGAAAATGGGGGAAAAAAGAGGAGTCAAGGAAAGACAACAAGGGTTTGGCCACCAGCTGAGATGAAGAAAGCCACAAGTAGATCATATGTGCAAGGAATAACCAAAAGTTCAGTTTTAGATACTGTAACTGAAATGTCTATTGAACCTCTAAGTGTGAGAAATCAAGGCTATGAGGGTATAAATTTGGAAATCATAACTTCTAAGTGACATTTATTTTTATTTTTTTCTGGTAGTTGGTTTGAACTCAGGGCCTCATGCTTGCTAGGCAGGCACTCTACCACTTGAGCCACTCTGCCAACTCTATTTTTATTTTTATTTCTATTTTCTGGTGGCACTGGGGTTTAAACTCAGGCCTTCCTTCATGCTTGCTAGGCAGGCACTCTACCAGTTGAGCCACACCTCCAGCCCTTTTGCTCTGTGTTTTTTTTTTTTAGGTAAGGGCTCTCTTTTTGCCCAGGCCAGCCTGGACCACAATCCTTCCATTTATGTTTCCTACCAACTCTGGGATGACAGTCACCACCATGCCTAGCTTTTTTTCCATTGAGATGGGGTCTTCCAAACTTTTTTGCTTAGGCTGGCCTCAAACTGTGATCCTCCTGATCTCAGCCTCCTAACTAGCTAGGATTACAGGTGTGAGCCCCCAGTGCCTGGCTTTATTTCTGTTTTTGAGATGTCCCACTATGTTCCCCAGGCTGGCTATGAACTCCTGTGCTCAAATGATCCTCCGGCCTCAGCTCCTCAGTGCTGGAGCTAAAACACTTCACTACACCAGTTTAGTTTTAGTTTTAGTTTTGGTTTTGTGATGGAGTCTCACTATGTTGCCCAAGCTGGTCTTTTTTTCCTTTTTTTTCTTTATTCATATATTCTTGTGTGCATACATTGTTTGGCCAAGCTGGTCTTGAGTAATGTTTTCTGAGCTCAAGTCTCAAACTTCCGGGTAGCTGGGACTGTAGGTGTGCACCACCAGGCACTAGGTGACAAAGCCTTGAGACTAGACAAGAAACCAAGGAAGTGATATAGAGAAGAGGTCCAAGGCCTGAATTTTGAGACACTCCAACATGAAACTGTTGTGAAGCCAGGCACCAGGGGCTCATGTCTGTAATCCTAGCTACTCAGGAGGCAGAGATCAGGAGGATCGCAGTTCGAAGCCAGCCCAGGCAAATAGTTCATGAGACCCTATCTCAAAAAACCCAACACAAAACAGGGCTGGTGGAGTGGCTCAAGTGGTAGAGTACCTGCCTAGCAAGTGTGAGACCCTAAGTTCAAACCCCAGTACCACAAAAAAAAAAAAGCTATTGTCACATGATAAAAGCGAGAGCACACAAGGGAGGGGTGAGGATAGGTAAGACACCTAAAAAATTAGCTAGCATTTGTTGCCCTTAATGCAGAGAAACTAAAGCAGATACCTTAAAAGCAACTGAGGCCAATAGGAAAAGGGGACCAGGAACTAGAGAAAAGGTGAGATCAAAAAGAATTAACCTAGAAGGTAACACACATGCACAGGAAATCAATGTGAGTCAATGCCCTGTATAGCTATCCCTTATCTCAACCAGCAAAAACCCTTGTTCCTTCCTATTATGGCTTATACTCTCTCTACAACAAAATTAGAGATAAGGGCAAAATAGTTTCTGCTGGGTATTGAGGGGGTAGGGGGAGCGGGAGGGGGTGGAGTGGGTGGTAAGGGAGGGGGTGGGGTCAGGGGGGAGAAATGACCCAAGCCTTGTATGCACATATGAATAATAAAACAATAAAAAAAAGCTATTGTGAGGCAGAGATACCAGAAGTGACTGATGAAGAAAGACTGGTCAGTGAGGTGGGAGGGAATCCAAGAGATTGTGTTATTCTAGAGACCAAATAGAGAGTGTCATGGAGGAGAGAGTAATCAGCCATGGCAAGTGCCAAGTAAGATGAGGGCAGAAATATGACTTAAATTTTGCTATGGTAGGGTCGTTGATGACCTTGACTAGATAAGTCTCCATTGTTGCTGCAGCCTAACTGACAGGAACAGGGCATGGAAAGCAGAGCTTACCGGAGGTTTATTTTTGTTGAACTTGATGGTGAAGAAGGCAGCGGCGCTGACTCGAGGCATGGGTTTCAGAGCAGTGGGAACGCTCCACCGCACACAGTAGATGTAGCGGAAGGAATGAATTAAGTCTTCCCTCTCAATAAAATCTGTGTAGTGCACCCAGCGACTTTGATACTCCCATTTCTATTTTATAGGAAAAAAATGAGAAAGCTCTCAGACAAAAAAGCAGACTTTTGTTGCTCAAGAGCTTTCAATAAAGGCAGTGCATACCAGTCAAGGTTACAGGCCTGTTCAGAAATTCTGACTTTTTTTCCAGTTCTGGGGATCGAATCCAGGGCCTCAAGCATGCTAAGCAAGTGCTCTATCACTTGAACCACACCCCCAGCCCAATCCTAGTATTTCTGTATTGCAATTCAAGCTACAGTCAACTCCCAGTTATCTCCACAGTGGAGAAGAGAAAATGTGGGGCTGAAATAAAAGCAAATAATGCAAACATCACTTCAGAGCAGGCTTTGGGCTGCAGAGGACACCCTTAGGTGTGTATGTACACATATATGCCAGCCACAGACCACAGACCACTCCACACCCTTACTTGGGAGGCAAGTGTGGCTAATTGGAAAATAATTAGAAAGCAAGTAGAACATGTGTTCTATTCTAGTCAGACCTATAGATATGAGTAGAAAATAATGAGGCTGCTTTCAACCATTTCTGACTCACTTCACTGCAGCTCTAGGTGGTTTGTAAAACAAGGTCAGAAGAGGAAGGAGCCGGGCAATAAGATGATCCACATTCCTTAAAAAGGAATGCTTTAGGGGCTGGAGATGTGGCTCAAGTGGTAGAGAACCTTACCAGCACATGTGAGGAGAGTTCAAACCCCAGTACTGCCAAAAATAAAAGAAGAAGAAGAAGAAGAATTAAATTCTATTTGCTGGGTGCCGTGGCTCATGCCTGTAATGCTAGCTAAATGGAGGCTGAGAGCAGAAGGATCAAGGTTTAAGGACAGTCAGGGCAAATAGTTCATGAGACCCTATCTAGAAAAAAAAAAAAACACAAAACCCTATCTAGAAAAAAAAAGGGGGCTCAAGTGGTAGAGCACTTGCCTAGTAAGCATGAGGCCTGAGTTCAAACCCCTGTACCACCAAAAAGGAATGCTTCTGGGATCAGGATACCTAATATGCATAACTCTCTGGGTTCCATTGGGAGCGGGAGAGAGAGTTCATAGAAGGCAGGAAGTGGGATGGTGTAAAAATCCAGCGATACGAAGAGGGAGTACCCAGGAGGATATTGGCAAAAAGATTTCAGGCCCTCTTTAAAAAAAAAAAAAGCAGGCTGGTCTTCTGCCTCAACGTATTTCAAAGTCATATCCAATTGCCTATTTCAGTCAGCCAGAGAGATGCAGCACTAGATTCTAGGTTCATTCAGATCAGGAACTGTATCTTCTTCCGGGTCATTATTCCTTTTACTGAAGAAGTTCAATGGTCGACCCCTTGTGGCCCATTGAAGCATGCCCTCTTTTCCCTCTACCTTTCTATATTATCCAATATGTGTTTTCTGACACTAATGTTTAATTTGTGGCACAATTTTAGGCTTTGTAGCACTGAAATGGTCTCTAGAAATAATCCATCACCCGCTTTGTCAATGAGGATTTTGGGGCCTAGAAATGGTAGAGAGGCAATCTAACATAACACCTGAATTGATATGCAGGGCTCCCGAGCAGCCAGCTTATTGTCTTCATTCCACCAGATGCCTTGATTCTTGGGAGTTTCTTCCTTTAGGCTTGGCTCTTAGTGTATTCTTTTCCTTTTTGTGACCTAAGGCACCTTTAGATATGACATTGAGTTTAACTATTCCCATCAGTCACTTTTATCAATGTGCTGGTTGCAGATTTTTTTGTAGCTCCAGTGAGTGTGTATTATTCTTGCATTTTGTAATTTTTTCCCATATACTCACTTCTAGGAAACAGTATTTCACTGTGCCACTCACCATAGATGGCTTAGCTGATTGCATAGTGTCAGACACTCAAATCAGCAGCCACCTGGAAGTACATGCACAAAACTGTTATCTGTAGTAAGTGACCTTTGCGGGAATAGAACTGGGTATTGTGACTAGCCAGGCATGTTGGTGCATGTCTGTAATCCCAGCAATCTGGAGACTGAGGCAGGAGAATCAAAAGTTCAAGACAAGCTGGGCTACATAGTGAGGCCTGGTCTCAAAAAAAATTAGGTATTGTGGTAATGGAAAGGGAACTTTCTACTTTGTGCCTTTTTGCTCAGTGGAGTTTTTTTAAATTATGATATGTCTCATTTTTATTATAAAAATAATTTTAACTGTGTATCAGTTAAAATTCTCTTGATTTTTCTCTTGTAAAGAATTCTTTGTGATTTTTATTGCCAGATTGTGTTCATGAAGAGAATGAACCAATTATTGTGACGTTGGCAATATATAATTGTAAACCACAAATGCACAAGCCTTCTGACAGCAGAATTATTATTATTCACACTATAACACTTTTTAAATCTTTTGAATCTACACTTCTGTCATTTCCATTGATAATAAAAGTATTATTTTGTCATCAAAAAATACTTTTCCTACTATGGTAGAAAGACTATCAGACAGATGTACAATCAAAACTTCATTTTGGAGCTGGGTATGGTGGTGCACACCTGTAATCCCAGCACTCAGGAGGTGGAAGCAGAATTGGAAATTCAAGGACAGACTGGGTTACACAATGAGACCCTGTCTAAAAAAAATTATTCTTTTCTTTTCCAGTAGTACTGGGGGTTGACTAGGGCCTCATGCTTGGCAAGCAGGTGTTCTACCACTTGAGCCACTTCACCAGCCACTTCATTGTGTTCTTTAATCAGAGAGACTTTGAATAAATTCCCAATCTGTATGACCTCAAAATTCCTCATCTATAAAATGGGCACAGTAGGGATTAAATGAGATGATGCAATGGTGAAGGGCTTAGCAGTGTTTGGCACATAGCAGTGCTCAGGAAATGGGAGCTCCTAGTGTACCATCCCCTAATGTTTGGTGAACTCCAAGAAATTGGCAAGAAGCTTGAGAAAAACATCCATTAGAAATGCCTGGTGCAGCTGGGCACCAGTGGCTCATGCCTATAATCGTAGCTACTCAGAGGGCAGAGATCAAGAGGATCAAGCTTCAAAGGCCAGCCTGGGCAAATAGTTCATGAAACCCTGTCTCAAAAATACCCAACACAAAAACAGGGCTGGCAGAGCAGCTCAAGTAGTAGAGCTCCTGCCTAGCAAGTGTGAGGCCCTGAGTTCAAACCCCAGCACAATAAAAAAAAGTAAATGAGACAAATGTTTTTACCTGGTTCATCCTCTGTGAAGAAATAATGGTAATGAGATAATAAATCTGATGGTGCATTTGACACAGATTTATTTTTAATATACATTTTATTAATGCATATTAATTGTATGAAGGGGTTACACCATGAGCAACATGGATTTATTGAGCATCTACTATGTACCTGACATTGCTAGAGACAGATCAGGGACCATATGATCTGGTCATGGAAGAAAGGCAGTAGAATAAAGAAGGAGTCTCTGTAGTCACTTAGAGAGAGGTGCTAAAGGCAGAATGCAAGAGAGAAAGGGAGAATGTTACAATTCTTGAAGCGGCCAGGAAAGGCCTCAATGAACAGGTGGTATTTTAACAAAGATGTGAAGAAAGGAAAGTGGTGGGTCATCTTACAGGAGAAGGTTACAGGCAGAGGGAACAGCAAACACAAAGTTGTGGAAGTGAGAACATGCCTGGCAGTTCAGAACAGCAAGGAACAGGTGTGGTTGGGTGAGAAAGGTGAAAGGGGAGAAGGTTTTAAGTGATGGGGGTATAAGCCATAAAGTTGGGAGGAGGACAGGGTGCTCAGTCACTTTGGGCCTTGTAGACCAACGTCAGGGCTTATATTGCCTTTTACTCAGAATGGCTGCTCAGATGAAGAAGAGAAATTTGTCCTGCTTGATCTGTGCCATTCCAGTGCAATTCAGGAAACCTGGGTGTGTCTGGCAGGATCCTTTGCCCAACCCCAAATGGAGACATGCTGGAGAGCAGGAAGGTCCAAGAGTGACTAATACTTTGCACCACTCATCTCCACTGTGCTCTAGAAACCCCTCTGAATGGGAACAGTGAGCAGCACCTGCTGGAGCACAGAGAGAAAGGGAACCAGAAATCCCTACCCTTTCCTCAGGGCCACCTGATCAGGGCTGTCCAGTGCTTAGGACCTGTGAGGACTACAGGCTGCAGGCTGGATGGGTGACCAGAAGAACAGAGAAAGGTGGAAATTTTCCTGGGGGTGAGAGAGTGTTCATCACCACCAATTTCAACTGCTTTCCCTTCAGAGAAAATACAGTAAAAGAGATTTCAAGCCATTCTTCATCCATCCCATCCATGATGCAAAGCAGACCAGGATCTTCTCCCCAAAACTGACAGTAAGCACACAGAGGAGTCAGAGTGAGACGCAGGAAGGAGGTGAGAAATGACAGGCATGTACATCTTACCATCTGGGCAATACATTCCAAAGCTAAATGAAAAAGATGCATGCATGTATGAAAATAGAACAATAAAACCCATAAAAATTGTAAAAAACAAAAGGGTGATTTGATCAAAGTACATTATATGCATGTATAGAAATATCACAATGAAACATTTGCACAACTAATATAGCTAATAAAAATAAAATGTAGCACTCATAAAAAATTTTAAAGAGACACTTGGTCCTGAGGATGGACATTGTACCTCAGTGGTAGAAAGTGCTTTGCATAAACAAGGCCCTAGGTTCAAATCCCAGCACCACGCACACGCAAAAAAAAAGATGCTTGATCCATCCACATCCCCTCTGCTACCATGAGCATACTAAGCTCACTGGTGGAGAACTTCTATTTTGGAGAAGCATCTCCCTCAGGCCACAAGGCCCCCACCAAATGTACCAGCGTTGACAAAGTGCTTAACTGGAAATAGTTTTTCTAGGGAAATGCAAGGTTAGGATCATACAAACACAAGGCAATTGATTGTGTTTTTCACCTTCAAAGACCATCCCACCTTGAGTTTGAAACCCAAGTGGAGACAATGTTTACTTATTCTAAGTCGCCTTTGACCTCAAACTTTTGATCAAGCAAGAGCCTTTTTATTTTTCTCACTCTCCTGCAACAAACTGGAGTAGTCAGTTAACTTACCGAAACAAACTTTTCAATCTGTCTACGGCCCCTTTCTGGTGTGAATTCACCATGAGTGATCCACTTAATGTTTTTGATAGGATTTATAGACTCTGAAAATAAAGCATGAATTTGTGAGTTGCCTGACAGAGTTATGTTAAATAATGAGACAATTCTTTTAGGCAGCCAAACAGGATTACTACCTTTCACAAACTGAACAGCAGCAGCAATGGTTGCTTCAACTAGAGCTAGAGCTACTTCAGTCACATTCTTGTTGTCTTGTGGATCTGTCATATTTGTGTTCCCTTCTGTATCTATCATATTGCTCTCATCTTCTGTTTCCTGTACTTCGCTGTTGTCTTTTGTATCCATCCTTGTCTTCCCTTTGGTTGTAAAAGTGTTGTCATCTATAATATTTACCTTCTGGTATAGGAGCCTTCTACTCCTATCCATTTTCTTTTGCCTAGATAAAGATATGCAAGAAGTTACTCTGCTTGTGTATGGTTACATGTATGGAAACATACTCTTGTAAGTACAAACTGTCTCTTGAAGAATCAAAAGACATAGGCAACAGTTATTGCCTCTTGGGAGGAGATTGGGGGTTGGAAGGAGGAGTAAGACCTCAGACCTTTGTATCTGGCTACTAAAATCTACTTTTCCAGAACACCAAGGTTTTCTACATTCTTAGAAACAAGAAGACTTAACTCAAAATGGAGTTGTAACTAGAACTCCAATATTGGTTTCTAGTTAAGTCTTTGAGCAACTGAGGGCTCTTTAAAGGTAGTGAATTAAGAAGAAGGGATGTAGCTCAGTGGTAGAGCACTTATCTAGTGTGGGAGAAGCCCTGGGTTCTATCCCCAGAACCACAGAAAAAAAAAAAGGTCATGAATTAAGAGGTAAGACTACAGAGGACAGTTTGGTGTTTCAGTTTTTTTCTCTTGGGTTTTCCAGATACATAATTCTGCCATCTCCAAGAAACTATTATTTTTACTATCTTTTCCTGAAATATATATATAATATAATAATATTATATATTATATATATGAGTGTTAACTTTGGTTAACACTTCCAAAAAGTATTAAATAGAAGTAGAGATAGTAAATTTTTGTGTGAGTAGGCATGCTTTCTGGTGTTATGCCATTAAAGATGACTTTGATTTATGGTCTGAGATTATCACATCAAGAAAACATTTGAGCTGGATGCCGGTGGCTCATGCCTGTCATCCCACCTGATCAGGAGGATCACGGTTCAAAGCCAGTCCCAGGCAAATAGTTCCCAAGACCCTATGTTGAAAAAACTTATCACAAAAAAGGCCTGGCAGAGTGGCTCAAGTGGTAGATCACCTGCCTAGCAAGCATGAGGCTCTGAGTCCTGAGTTCAGACCCCAGCGCCACCAAAAAAAACATTTGAGCCAGGTGTGGTGGTGCATACCTGACCTGTAATCCTAGTACTTGGGAGGCTGAGGCAGGAAGTTTGTGAGTTTGAGGCCAGTCAGGCCAAGCTGAGCTGTACAGTAAGACCCTGCCTCAAACTCCACTTCTCCCACCACCACCAAAAAAAAGAAAACATTTGCACCTGTTATAGTAACATTTTATTATAAATGATAGTTAAACTTTTCCAAATGTCTTCAATATCTATTGAGAATGTAAACCTTTGAGTTATCAGGACTGTGAACATACATCCATCACAGAATTAGGAGTCTGCAGATTTTTCCATCTTTTTCCTTGAGTCTTAGATTCAATTTCTTTCCATGCTACTGCTTAAGTCTCTTCACTTCCGAGAAATCACTTACTTCAAGTTCACTGGTAAATTCTTTACAGACAATCCTTACATTGTGGGGCTGTATAACAGTGGATATCTCTACAAAGGGAGCTATTTATCTTTCTGTAAATAACAGTTTCCAATCTTGGGTTGTTTAATGTGCCACATCTCATGTAACTATTACCATGGCCCTATGAGAAGGGCAACTGGATACTTCCCATTTGCCCTTCCAGATCCACTGTTCGCTCCAGCTTCTCAGGGCTATCTCACAGATTTCCTAGGCTGGTACCCTCTCACCCCCATAGCCTTGGCAAGCTGAACTTTCCTTTGTTTTCCTGCACTCTGGCCACATGTTTATATATGTTCCCTTTACCAACAGTATTCTATAGGGACCCTGAGCCATACATGAACAAAGGTACTTTTTTTAGGAGAAGACCAAAGATTTACTAGGATGCAATTAAAAGAAGAGATGATAGGTGGCTATGCAAAGGAGTATAGCACAGAACAAAGGCACTCTTATTATGAAAATAAGGAGACCACAATACACACCCAGATGTTCTGACTCTATGGCCTATGCTTTTAATTACCTGCTCTTCTCTCTCCAAGATTCAGAAAAGGCATTGTGGCCCTGTTCTCACGTTTTCATCTGGAGTCCAGAATGCACCCACTCTCTTTCAGGGAGCCTCTTTCACATAGGCCAACCTTTTGTTTCCTTTCTCAACATCATCATTGGTCCCTGGCAAGGCAACCCAGTTCCCATGGCCAGTGATCCAAGAATAATTCGAATAGCCTTTGAACATTCTTATAATAATATTGACCGGTGTTCATCAGGGCCTTGATATTGGCCTTTTAAGCTCAGTTTGCCCCTGCCTCAGTTCCCTCTTGATGCGGTGGGCAAGTAGACAGGATCATCTGCTGGAAGAAACGGAGTCTTTCCAGGCTGCCCATGCCAGAGCAGGAAAAGGCTAAAGGTTGGGTGGTAAGGGAGTCTAAAGGTCCTTAACACTGGAGAACTGCCTTCCATGGCCCTCAGGCCATGCCCATTTGACCAAAGCAATTTCCTACCAACTCTGTAGTTAAAGACATCCCCAAAGTTTTTGTAACTTGTTCAACTTGGTAGGCTTTTGTGAATTAGTTGATCCTTCATGGAATGGCCCATTTTGTGATTTAGCGTACAGCAAATTATATGTTGAGTAGAAGCCAAATCTGTGGACTCCCAACAACCAAGTGAATGAGGCAGAAACTTTAAACATGGCAAGACCATCTTAATACCTTTCCCAGGGAGCCCTGTGTTCCAACAGGAGGAGGCAAGTAAGGAGCAGGGTCCAGTGAGAAGCTCAGTTTTTATCCTCACACATCTGTGGACACACATCACTGTTGAGCATCCCTCCCACTGGCCTCTCCTAGTTCTTTTTCTTCTCTTCCCTTCCTAATAAAAGGACAGGTCTATGGAATGGGTGAAAAGAAATGGGGGCATGGTCAAGTTTGGGATGTGGGTGATGAATAGGGAAGACAACTGCAGGTCCCTTTTGAGGATATCCCCCATCCCTAAGAAACCCTAATACCTGAGTGAGCAGGTCCTTGTTTGAAGCAGTAGCAGTGGTAACTGGGGAAGCCTCAGAAGGATTCTCTCAGCAGCTTTTATCTAAGGTTCCCAGACAGAATGTTTACAAGTGCTGCCAGGGCAACACCAATTTCAACCAATGGGAAACAAAGCCTACATTTCTGACTGCCTCTGTTAATCAAAGAGAGGAAAGTAGGAGAGAGGGAGGGAAGGCGGGGCAGGGCTAGTTCCAGCAATCATCTGACCTCAGTAACAGGACTAAGCTGCAGAAGCCAAACCCAGCTTCTGCCCAGCAGGAGACAAGCTTACAGGGCTGTGCCAGGACTTGTAATGTGACATTCCTCCGCTCATAGCATTGGACATTCTGATGATGATCACTGTGTTGTCATTTACTTGCAATCGCACCATGAAGTCGGTATCAGTACTTTCAAATCTTCATTGAAACAAACTGAGGCACAGAGAGTGTTAAGTAAACTGCTCCAAATTCAAACCCAGAGCTATCTAACTTAATTGACTGAGCTTTTCACCTCTTCATTTCCAAATCCTGACTGTTCTCAAAGATACCTTTTGTGAATCAAGGATGAGAAAGTATAACAATGATTATCAGTACACACTCAGAAACAGTTAACACTTTTCTTTCTCACTTTCCTGTCTATAAAATGGGGATGATAATCCTAAAGAAGAGAGGGTTGAGATTTTGTTTTGTTTTGTTGTGTTGTGGTGCTCTGGATCAAATCTAGGGCATCATACATGCTAGGCTAGCTCTACCACTGAGCTACATCCCCAACCCTAGAAGTTTTTTTTTTCTTTGAGACAGGGTCTCACTGTGTAGCCCAGCCTGGCCTTGAACTCACAATCCTCTTGCTTCTACCTCCTGAGTGCTGGGATTACAGGTGTGTACTACCATGCCCCACTCAGGATTTTTTTTAATGAGGACTAAACCAGATAATTCACATGAAGAGTGAGAATAATGCTGGATATATCATAAACTCTAGAATGGTTAGATATGACCCCTAGTATTATTATTAATAGTAGTGATATTTTAAATGGCACACATTTAAATGGTGTTAACTGGTGAAACAAAAACTCAATAGCCCTATGTCAGGACCCAGTTTTATTTTATTAGCCCATGAAATTCCCAAGTCTCAGAACCCCCACCCTGAACTATGCTATATGAAATGGTTGCTCACCGTGCAATAATTGATCTTGATCCTAGCAAAGGAAGGAAAGTGCTGTTAAGTGTCTTCTTTATCTAAAAGAAATACTGAGCTCACTGTGTGGAAGACATCTTGTACATTCCACACAGAGGTCGAGCTGCTGAGATGGAGTGGTGAGGTAGGCAAGTGCAGGTGGCACGGGAGAATGCAGGAGATACTGTGGCTCAGTAGAAAAAACAGAGACTCTATACACAGACAGAAAGAATTCAAATCCCAGCTCTGCCATTCACCTGACACTGGGAGCTTGTGTCCTAAGTTCTTACTCATTAAGGTCAATGCCCAGCAGCCAAGCCAGGAAGATTCTTGTGGACACTGCTATTGGTGAGCACACAAGCTCCCTATTAATGATGCTGACTGACCTCTCTCTCATCTGACACCCATAAAGCTCATCAGGTTAAGTGCCATGAACCTTGTAGTACCACAGCATGCCCAGAATCTCCTCCTGGGTTCCCTGGAGGAGTGCTTTTCCTGGGATGGGTCCTGGAAACACCTGGCCCCGCAGGTGCACGTTCTGAAAGAGCAGAGCTCTGATTGACTTCCTTTGTGTCAAACCGGGGAGGGCAGAAAAGAGGTATAAACGCTGGAGCCACTGATGAGAGGTACATGGTGGGACCTGGTGTGGGAGGTGGGGAATGGGATTCTTAATTGCCCAAAGATACAGGCAAGTGACAAGAAACTCCTTGCAAGCAAAATGCTTTCTTGGATGGAGCCAGGACAGATTTCTGGGCAGATTAAGAAGACTCCTTTGAAACAGGAGCTTAGACACCTCAGCTGGAACTTTACCTCCTGCCCCAAGCCAAGGCACCAACAAATTCTGGACAAGTCTATCTTCTGGGGCTCTCCACATTGGAGGCCTTTAGAACTCTCATGCAGTGCTGAGGACAGGTTCTTCCAAACTGTGCCCCACTTGGATGCTAGTGTAGGTAAGCGTGGAAAAGCAGCTTGGGAGCATGAGATGGGGGCAGCAGTGAGTGGAGCAGGTGGGGCAGAGAAGGAGGAGCTGACTGGAGCCTAATCGAGCTCAGTCCCTAATTCTTTACTATCAGGGAGGCCCCAAGGCCAAGCCTACACCTTGCCACCTTCCTGCACCCCATGAGCCTCTAGTAACATCAGGTTGTCCAGCCACCTTAGAACCCTCAGCCCCAGAAACCTGTGCACAAGACATGCTGCCCCAGAACTCCACAGGGCCTTTCCAGACCATTCTGAGGGAAAATGCCTTTGCCCATAGCAGGTGAGACCAAGGTATGTGTCCTGATGACAGGCAGGCCAGTTGCATGTGTCCCTCCCCCCCAGTCACCTGGACTGCCCAGCACTGGACAGAATGCCAGTGAAGAGAACCAGCACCTCACTTGCCCCAAGTGTGAGAAGTGGGGGGAATTTGTATTAAGGATATTGTGCTCACTAGAGAGAATTGCTTTGGAGACCCTCACAGGGCCCCACTCTGTTAGCTTATTCCTGAACGGAGGAAAATCCAGGGAGAGGCCCCCTATCTCTACATCAGAGCACAAGGAAGAGGAAACGGAGCTAAAGTCATGGGGCCTCTCTTTAGGACTCCACACCCTACGCCTTGAATTATTTTTCTTTCCACCTGTGTCCCATCAGTCATTTTCTTTCTCATACTCTCATGCTTACCCTAGAATCACTACCCTTCGTCCTCTTTCCTTTCCCGCCTATGCCTAGCAAGGTAGATGGCTCTTGATGATGAAGCCCATGATAAATGCTCTTCTTGTCAAGTGACCCTTGAAATTCTTCTCAGGTAAATTAGTCAGCCAAGTACCTGTAAAGCGTGCAGATGGAAGGAAGCTAAGGCAGTTTCCACTCTCAATGACTCACAGTCTAATTGGGAAGATAAAGTGTGCTGACATGAAAAGATAACTAGCTAGTCAAAGGGGATAGTGAAAACACAGGCGCTAGCTGGGCACTAGTGGCCCACACCTGTAATCCTAGCTACTTATGAGGCTGAGATTGGGAGGACTGCGGTTCGAGGCCAGCCCAGGCGAATAGTTCATGAGACCCCCACCTCCAAAATAACAAGAGCAAAATAGTCTGGAGGTATGGCTCAATCAGTAGAGCACCTGCTTTGCAAAAGTGAAGCCCTGAGTTCAAACCCCAGTCCCACCAAAACAAACAAAAAACCTTGCCAGGTGCTGGAGGTTCATGCCTATAATCCTAGCTACTCAGGAGGCTGAGATCAAGAGGATCACAGTTCAAGACCAGCCCAAATAGTTCACGAGACCCTACCTCAAAAAAAAAATCACAAAAAAAGGGCTGGTGGAATGGCTCCAGGTAAAGGCCCTGAGTTCAAACCCCAGTACCACAAAACAAACAAACAAACAAAAAAACATGAGACAGTTGGGTTTGGGCAGGTTCTAAACAAATGTGGTTGAGTGAAGATGCCTCAAGTCAAAAAGTCCACCAGGCTGCACTGAGAAAGGGGAAGAGGTAATAAGAGCCCAAGGCCTTTCACAAATTGAGGCCCATCCTCCAATAGTAAAAGCCATAGACTTGAACATTGTGCTCATGGGGCCCAGCTGGGTGGATCCCTGAGAGTCATATCACAGAGACCTCTCAGAACATCCCACCCATCTTTGTACATGAGTGTCTCATTACATATCATCCTGCTCAGAACAGTTACTATGGCAAAGTCATTTTTGGGTGGCTAAATTTCTGACACTCCAGTCCACCGTAACTACAACAGGCTGCTCATATAGGCCTTGGATAGAAACTCCACAGTTGCCCTAAAGATCTTACCAACTTCACCCCAAACATTGAGTTATTAGAGGTAAAACACACTCCCCAGTCAAGAGGCAGGTGGCACACAAAAGGATAGGCAAAGTATACCAAAGAAACTCTTAAGCACATGCAAAATATTTTTTTCTTGGGGACAGTAATGTTCAGTACTCCCAAAGTCTTTCTTGCCTTCTATTGCCTTTGGGATTACAGTTCTTGGGGGTCATAGTCAAAATTGCATACTTGTTTGTAAATTGTATTACCCAACGACTCACTAGCCCAAATACAATTGGTCTCCCCATGTTTTCTGGAACTGAGGAAGGTATCTACCAAGAAACAAATAAAAAATGATACAAAATGCAGGATCAAACTCAGGGCCTTGCACATGCTAGGTTAAGCACTCAACCATTGAATTGTATCTCCAGCCCCACTAACTGGAATTTTAAACACTGCAGGATCAACTCAGAAAAGCAACTAGAGGCAAAAAAAAAATCTTTTTTCTGTATTCTACTAGCAATCTCTGAGTAAGTTTTTAAAAATATTAATATCTATTACAATGGTAATCATTGTAATCAATTAATAATTATGATCAATTAATCATAATTAATTATAATACCATATATGAAGTATTAGATGTTATCTACAGAGAGAGGTGTTTGGTGTAGAGTATGTCTATAATTTTATAGGCCTTGACTGTTTTCTAGTTTTTTTAAAGTAATAAAGCTACATTAGATAGACTGCTTGATTTTGTGCAGAATATTTTTTTAAAAAGAAATGCCTTTGATTTTTCTTTTTCATTTTATTTTTATTAAGCATTACATAACACACCGTATGCTATATAATATACTGCATAAGCTTCTAGCAGGGGTAGATGACCATAACTAATTTATTGTTTCATCAATCAGGAAACAGCTTCTTTAATCAATGTTGTCCAAACCCTGAAAAACAGTTTAAAAAGAATATGAAAATTCTGCTCCCATCAAAGATGCACCATGTACTTTATTTCCAGTGTCACAGAACAGCATTTTGTTATTTAAGCAAATGTTATTAAAAACATCTCACATTTCCCTAATGGCAACAATAATCAATAAATCTGTAATGATTCCACTTTTTTGGGGGGAGGAGGCCAGTACTGGGGTTTGAATTCAGGGCCTCGGATCTGCTAGGCTTGTGCTCTACTGTTTGAGCCACAAACCCAGCCCTAAGATCCCACTTTTCATTTTCTAACAGCAGTAAACATACTATTTTATTTGAAAATACCCTTCCCCCACCCTAATCAGAACTAAAGTCAAGCAACTTTACCACCCGCATCCTTATACAAAGCATCCTCCAGAGTCTGAGGATAATAAGGTAAAACATGAGGTACATACTATTATCCTCATTCCATTTTTATTTACAAATGAGAAAAATGGAGGCTCGGAGAGGTTAAAAATCACTTGCTTAGACTGTCTCAACAAAAATCACTCCCTTAAGTCAGTAAGCAAGTACCAGAATTCAAGTACAAAGACACCAACTCCAAAATCCCTTGTTCCACAATCACTACACTAATTCATTCAAATGACCCATTGTATCTTATTCAGTTCACAACCAAATGCTTCAGAATCTACAAAAGATTCTTCAGTGATGACATTTCTCCCAGTTACTAAGACAACAACAGCTTCCTACTCCAAGAAGAATTGCCTTGAGAGAAGTTAAAACCACGTATTTCTAGGAGTTACCACCTCTTAGAAATCCTAATTCTATTTCACACACCAGGAGATTGATAGATTCTTTGACCATTCTTTGAGAAATACAGCTCTAGATACATAGGTATAGTCATCCCCTCTTTATCCGCAGGGACATGTTCCAAAACCCCCAGCAAAAGCCTGAACACATAGATAGTAACCAATGCTATATATATTATCATTTCCTGTATAGACATTCCTATAATAAAGCTTAACTTATAAATTAAGAACAATACCTAATAATAAGTTAAAATTATAACAATACTCTATAAAAAAGGTATTTAATAGTTAAGAATTGTTTATTTCTGGAGTTTTCCATTTAGTATTTTCAGACCACAGCTGGGCTGGCAGAGTGGCTCAAGTGGTAGAGTGCCTGCCTAACAGGCATAAGGCCCTAAGTTCAAACCCTCACACTGCCAAATAAATAAATAAATAAAAACAAAAACAAAAAAAAACCTTTAGGGTTGGCAGAATGGCTCAAATGATAGAGCGCCTGCCTAGCAAGCATGAGGGTCTGAGTTCAAACCCCAGTACCAACCAAAAAAATTGACACCTAGTATTTTCAGACCACAGCTGACAATGCATAACTAAAACCATGGAAAGCAAAACTGCAAATAAAAGGGGTCTACTTACTATTTATCTTTATATTCATTAGATCTGATTCTCAAATAGCACTAAACTGAGAGGCAGATCACCTAGGTTGAGTCTTTATAGTATTGTTGAATCACAAATCACTATAAAATGAAAATAGTATTTACCTAGGTTGACTGTGAAGAACACAAGCAAGAAGCAATTATAAAATTAAAATTTTTAAAGAATTAGGAGTATGAATTACTCATCCAAGTTATAAAAACATACCATTAGGTTGAGTCATATGAAAATGATACTACTTGATCATTTTTAACCAATAAAAAACAGCAATTTCATATGACTCAATCAAATAAAAAATTATAGCAATTCTTTTTTTTTTGGCATACTGGGAATTGAACCCAGGCCTTGCCTTTGCTATGTAGGAGCTCTAACACTTGAGCCATGCCCCCAGTCCAATTATAACAATTCTTTAAATAAGGTATTGGTGCACTAATTGGCAGACCAATGGAGTAAAGAAAAGCAAATTTATGAAATAAGACCACATATATATGGAAATTTAGTTTACTAGAGTGGTATTACAAATAAAAATCGACTGTTCAATAAGTGGATAATTGTGACAACTAGCTATATCCTGGAAAAAAGTAAAGTTAAATCTTCATTTCACATTACATAACATATAAACCAAATAACTAAATAGAAAAATAGAAAAAAAGAAACTGAAACAGTATTTTGAGAATTTGTAAGAAAATATTCTTATAATCTTTGGTGGAAAAGGCCTTTGTAAGAATAAAGAATCCAGAATAAAACATGATAAATTGAACACCAAATTTAAAAACTACTATCTGATGAAAAACATCATAAAATTAAAAAGACAGAGCAGGCTAGGAGAAACATTTGTCATACACCTAACTTTTTTAAAATTAAAATCCAGAATACAGAAAGAACAACTATTAAATGAAAAAGAAAGGGCTGGTGGAGTGACTCAAGTGGCATAGCATCTGCCTAGCAAGTGTGGCCCTGAGTTCAAACCCCAGAACTACCAAAAATATATAAATAAATAAAAATAAAAACAAGCAACAGAAGAGGCAGAGAAGGTCTGGGGATGTAGTTCTGTGGTGGAGCACATGCCTAGGATGCCCAAGATCCTGGATTCAATCCCAAGCACAGCAATTTTGTTTTTCAAAAAGGAGTTTCCAGAAGAGGCAAAGGATATAGGCAAACAATCCACAGAATAAGAAATACAAAAGATCGTTTCATATGTAAAAGGCTGCTCACCTCACCAGTAGACAAAAAATGCAAATTAAATGAGTACTGTATGACTTTTGGCAAGACATTACCCACCTCAACCCTGGCAGAGTCATCAGTCATCTTACCTTGGACACATAGTAACGATTGACTCCAGAAATGCGTCTATCTCTTTCCATCAAACTCCACTGATATGGACAATGGGCCATCCTTTTTTCCTGCAAATAAAAGACAATTATTGCCGTTTATAAAGGTGAGTGACACAGCAGACTGATCTTACAACTTTTAAGAAGTGACCCGCAGGGCTGGTGCAGTGACTCCAATGGTAGAGAGCACCTGCCTAGCAAGTGTGAGGCCCTGAGTTCAAACCCCAGTACTCCCCGCAAAAAAAAAGTGGCTTGATAGAAAAATGGAATCATCACTGAAATAAAAGCCAAATGAACAATACAAAACTAGAATCTCTTAAACGAAATAAGACCACTAAAATTTAAGATTAAAGTGAGGAAAAGACAGGCGTGGTGAGGAAAAGACAGGCGTGGCAGTACACATCCATAATCCCAGTATCTGGGAGGCTGAGACAGGAGGTTTGTGAGTTCAAGGCCAGCCTGAGCTTTACAGTGAGACCCTGTCTCCAAAAAAACGCGGGGGGAGGGGATTAAGAGTAGGGAAAAAGTCAGTAGGAGATGTGGATGTGAGAAATTAAAATTAAAATCGACAAGAAAGGAGACCAGAAGAGGCAAGACTAGAACTACTTTTTCTGATCTACCGTTCCAGCTTTCAAGACGCTACGCCCATTCTTTGTGTGTGTGTGTCTGAGCTGGAGTTTGAAGTCTGGGCCTCACGCTTGCAAGGCAGGCATCCTACCACTTAAGCCACTCTGCCAGCCCTTTTTGTGTTGGATATTTTCGTGATAGGGTCTCTGAACTAGTTGCCTGTGCTGGCTTCGAACCTCGATTCTCCTGATCTCTGCCTCCTGAGTAGCTAGAATGACAGGCGCGAGCAAACGGCTCCCGGCTGGACCACTCTCCCACAACTAGAAAGTAGCTGTTTTTTGCTAGAGCAGGATGTGGACCCCTATGGACTCCTAAAAGCCTTCTCTTTTAGGCAACAAGAAAAATAGGGCCGCCCTCATTCTCCACCTTGGAGAGCGGCAGTACATCGTAATGAACTTTCCACTCCACCCGCCTTTTTGGAAACGCTGGTGCGAGGAGTTACCCCTCCCAGGTAACCCGCCTTACCTTGCCCCCATTGGTGAACTTGTGAATGTAGGCAGTGGCCACTCCGGGGATGACCACGCACACACCCATAAGGCAGAGTCCTGGGAGAATTTCGAACCACATCTCGGCACAGTCACCTCAACCAAAACCCGATCCTTCGCCTTCTTAAAGGTGACCGGGCTACGGCCCCCTTCCCAGTAAGCCCCGCGGCAGCACGCGGGAGGGGCGGTGCCACGTACGTCTCCCGGAAGAGACGGAGTCCGCCAGGGCTCAAAATTGGCTGACGCTCGCGCAGTTGCACTTCCTTTCCTGTATCCGGTTCTTTCCTTCAGACTCTTAGCAGAGCATTAGACGTACTATAGCGCGAAGAGAGGCTCTGTGCGACCCAATAACACGCCGTAGCAGTTTCAAAGCTCGGAAATCTAAAATGGCAGAGCAGCTTTCTCCAGGAAAGTCAGCAGACCAGGTGTGCACCTTCCTCTTTAAAAAGCCTAGGCGGAAAGGGGCTGCGGGCCGCCGAAAGCGCCGGGTCTGTGACCCGGAGCCAGGAGAAAGTAGCAGCAGCAGTGACGAAGGCAGCACTGTGATCCGACCGGAGAAGAAACGAGCGACACACAATCCAATGATCCAGAAGACGCGTGGCAGCGGTAAAACGAAGGCGTCCTACGGCGACTTGAGTAGCGAGGAGGAGGAGGACGAGAAAGAGCCCGAGAGCCTCGGCGTGGTCTACAAGTCCACCCGTTCGGCGAAACCCGTGGGGCCCGAAGATATGGGGGCGACAGCCGTCTATGAGCTGGACACCGAGAAGGAGCGTGACGCACAAGCTATTTTCGAGCGCAGTCAGAAAATCCAGGAGGAGCTAAGAGGAAAGGAGGATGACAAGATCTATCGGGGAATCAATAATTACCAAAAGTACATGAAGCCCAAGGATACGTCTATGGGCAATGCTTCCTCCGGAATGGTGAGGAAGGGCCCCATCCGAGCGCCTGAGCATCTCCGTGCCACCGTGCGCTGGGATTACCAGCCCGACATCTGTAAGGATTACAAGGAGACTGGTTTCTGCGGCTTTGGAGACAGCTGCAAGTTCCTCCATGACCGTTCAGATTACAAGCACGGGTGGCAGATCGAACGTGAGCTTGATGAGGGTCGCTATGGTGTCTATGAGGATGAAAACTACGAAGTAGGAAGCGATGATGAGGAAATACCATTCAAGTGTTTCATCTGTCGCCAGACCTTCCAAAACCCAGTTGTCACCAAGTGCAGGCATTATTTCTGTGAGAGCTGTGCACTGCAGCATTTCCGCACCACCCCGCGCTGCTATGTCTGTGACCAGCAGACCAATGGCGTCTTCAATCCTGCAAAAGAATTGATTGCTAAACTGGGAAAGCATCGAACTGCAGAGGGTGGTGCTTCTGATTTCCCCGGAGACCCCAATGAGGATCCAATTCCCATTACTTAGGTTTTCCATAATTCTCAAATCTCAAAATAAATATTTTGTTGTTCTTTTGAAATCCGTGTCCTTTCTTTTTAGGATAAGCGACAGAGAAGGCTAGTGGTGAAGTAGGGTCCTGGATTAAAAGCTTCGAGGTAGGTATTATCTGGATTTTTAGCCGTGGGATAAACAGTCCGTGTATCTATAATATTCAGAACATTCTGCCATAAATTATGGGAATGGGAGAAGTTCAAGAAAAGAGCCAGAATTTGCTTGAAGTAACCAAAGCTGTGATGAAAGCAAGAACTGAACCTATTTATTATATCACATTTCAGTATCACTTAATACTTTACAAACTGCTTTAATGCATTATCTCTGGGGAGCCAGTACTGCTTTAAAATACACCCAAGCCCCAATGCTGGGGAGCAGGATTCAGTTGGGGGCTAGTGGCTAACACCACAGGGTGCATGTATGGCAGATGGTCATTGCTCTGTTTTGTGGATGGTCCTCACTCTTTTTGAAGCACCTATAGGTAGCCCCCCCACCCCCATGGATGATGGAAATGCTCTGTTCTGTCAGATATGATAGCTCCTAGCCTTATGGCAGGAGGCAATGTGGCTCAAGTGGTAGAGTTCCTGCCTAGCAAGCTCAAGGCCCTGAGTTCAAACCCCAGTAGCAGCCCCCCATGCAAAAAAAATACTAGCCTCATATGACTGTTGAGTGAAGAAAATGTGGCTAGTGACCACCTTATTGGAGGTGCAGTCTAAACTGAACTTTTGAACTTGGCAGAGGGCAAAAACTTAATGTCTTATAATCCATTGCCTGAAAGTGTTGGTGTTCTCACAGACTCTCATAGAGCTAAGCACACCCTGTTAAAGTTAGCAGTTGTCTTCCCAACTGCTTTGGGAACCCCTCAATGACTAGCCTAGTGCTTGGCATGTAGCACTTAATAAATAAGACCAGGAGGTTTAAGAAGGGAGATTGGGACCAAAGCCTTGAATCCAAGCTGAGGAGCTTTGACTGTATTCTGTAGGTAATGGGGAGATAAGAGGTTAGGGGAGAGGAAGACTATCAGACTTGTGTTTTCTTTAACATTACTGAGGTTGTGGTTATGGATGGATTACAGAGAGATGGAAAACAAGAGACAGGGAGGAGGGTTAGGCCAAATTGTAAATTTTTATTGATATAAGTAGAATTTGGGCTGATATTAAGAAACAGATGAAAGAATAAATTGGGTTAAAGTCTTTTTATTCACAATCATTAATTCATGCAAAGATATCTCTCAAGCACTGTGCTTGGCGTGGGGGCTGTTTACCAATGAACAAAGTAGACACAATGTCTGTCATGGAGCTAGACATTAAACATTGACAAGTGTGATGAGTACAAGAAAAGAGTGCACTGGGGCCAAGCACCAGTGACTCACACCTGTAATCCTAGCTACTTGGAAGGCAGAGATCAAGAGGATCGTAGTTTGAAGCCAGGCCAGGCAAACAGACCCTATCTCAAAAATACTCAAGACAAAAAATGACTGGTGGAGTGGCTCAAAAGGCCCTGGGTTCTGTCCCCAGAACTACAAAAAAAAAAAAAAAACTAAGGCAAACCAGCCTTGGAGGAGTTCAGAGACAGGAACTCATGTGACAGAGTGATACATCCTATAACAAAAGCTATGCAAAGTATTATGGCATACATGAGAGTTCTACTGAGAAAGGGGCTTAAGGAAACATTTAAGGGATGAGAGGAAAAAAATAGCTGAATAGGAAAGGAAAGAGGACATTATAGAAGCAGATAAAGAAGCAGGACTGTACATTGCCATGCAAAACAAAGAAGGAAAAGTGTCTTAGAGATGATGAGTAGCAGAAGAACCATAAAAATTGCTCAGGTTTTACTATTCTGAGAGTGTATACTTAAAAATTTATTCAGAAGTAGAATAAAAGCCAGGCATGGCTGTGCACACCTGTAATCCCAACACTTGGGAGTCTGAGGCAAGAGGATTATGAGTTCTAGGCCAGCCTGTAATGCATAGCAAGACTCTATCAAAAAAAAATTAAAAGAATAAAGCTTTATGGGAATTATGATCTACTATATAAGCTGAGATAAAAGATCAAGAAAAAAACACAAGATGAAAGAGAAGTAATGCTGCTGATGACAAATTCTAGAAGGTAGATCTGAGAAGAAATGGAATTAACAAGCGTAGATCAAATTAGTTTTAAAGAGCTAAGAGAAGCCAGGTGCTGATAGCTCACACCTGTAATCCTAGCTACTTGGGAGGCTGAGATCTGGAGGACAGAGGTTTAAAGCCAGTCTAGGCAAATATTTCACAAGACTCCATCTCCAAAATAACTACAGCAAAATGGGCTGGAGGCAAGCTCAATCTGTACAGCCCTTGTTTTTACAAGTGCGAAGCATTGGGCTAGTGGAGTGGCTCAAGTAGTAGAACACCTGCCCAGCAGGCATGAGGCCCTATGTTCAAACCCTAGTACCACCAAAAGAACAGCAACAAAAAGAGCAAATGCAAAGCCCTAAGTTCAAACCCCAGTCCCACCAAAAAAAAAAAAAAGTGAAAAAGATGACATTTGGCTAATTTTTTTGTGGTACTAGAGTTTGAAGTAAGGCCCTCACACTTGCTTAGCAGGTGCTCTACTGCTGGAGCCACTCTTTCAACCCATTTTTGTGTTGGTATTTTTGAGATAGGGTCTCTGGAACTATTTGCCTGAGTTGGCTTTGAACCACCATCCTCCTAATCTCTGCCTCCTGAGTAGCTAGGATTACAGGTATAAACCTCTGGTGCCCAGCAAAATTTTTTAAAGATAAGATCTATGTAGCCCAAAGTGATCTTGAACTCATGATACTCCTACCTTGTCCTCCCAAGTGTTAGAAATACAGGCTTTTTCACATAATAATTTGAATTTGGGATCTTATGCTAGGCAGGCTCTCTACCACTTGAGCCACTCCACCACCCTTGTTTTTGTGTTAGGTATTTTCAAGACAGGGTCTGGCGAACTACTTGGCCCAAGCTTGCTTGGAACCTTGATCCTCCTGATCTCTGCCTCCTGGGTAGCTTGGATTACAGGCGTGAACTACAGGCACCAGGCTCAATTTGAGTTTCTTAAAGGCAATTCTGTACATGAAAGGCTGAGATCAGGAGGATGGTGGTTTGAGGCCAGCCCAGGCAAAAAGTTCTCAAAACTCAATCTCCAAAATAACCAGAGCAAAGTGAACCAGAGACTCAAGTGATAGAGTGCCTGCTTTGCAAGCATGCAGCCCTGAGTTCAAACCCCAGTCCTGCAAAAAGAAATATTTTTATGCACACCCACAACATGACAGGTATTAACCTAAGCACTGGAGGCACAGCCATAACAAAAAGCATAAATCCCTGCTCTCATAAAATTTACATGAAAGACAGTAACAGACTCATGTATATATACATATACGTGGGTATATAATACCAAATTGTGACAAGGGGGTGAACGTGCAAGGGTGTGGAGGAATGTTATTTTATACAGGGTGGTCAGGGAGGGCCTCTTCTGATAGGGTGATGTTTGAGCAAGACCTAAATGAAGGAGATATCTGGGAGTAGCATATGCCAGACAACACCAAGTGCAAAAGTCCTAGTGCAGGAAAGTGTGTGACATGTGCTGGGAACAGGGAGGAAGAAATGTAATTGGAATGAACTAAAGCAGGAGGAAAGAACTCTTAAGATGAGCTAAGAGTAGTAATGGAGGAAGGGGGAAACTACAGCCATTGTAAAGACTTTGGCTTTTATTCTCTGTTGGGGGGAGGACCAACCACTGAGAGGTTTTTGAGCACAGAAATGGCATGACCTGACACTGAATTTTAAAAAAATTATCTTTCTTGGGTTGGTGGAGTGGCTTAAGTGGTAGAGCACCTGCCTAGCAAGTGTGAGACCCTGAGTTCAAACCCCAGTACTGCCAAAAAAAAAAGGATCCTCCTTGAATGTTTGGGGAAGCAGTGGAAATGTTTTATATCTTAATTGGGTGTTTGTTACATGAGTGTCTACAGCTATTCCAACTCATTGGAATGTATGTTTATGTGTGTTTCCTTGTACATCATTACATCTCATTAAGAAAAATATCTTAGCTGGGCACCAGTGGCTCACACCTGTAATCATAGCTACTTGGGAGGCTGAGATTGGAAGGATAATGTTCCAAGCAAACCTTGGCAAAAAAAAAAACATTGCAAAATCCCTATCTCAATGAAAAAAGCTGGGTGTGGTAGCATGCCTGTCATCCAAACTATGGCAGGAAGCATGAAATAGGAGGGTCACAGTCCAGGCTGGCCTAGGCAAAAAGCAAGACCCTATCTTTAAAATAACCAGAGGAAAAAGGGCTAGAGGTGTGACTCAAGCAGTAGAATGCTTGCCTAGCAAGTGGGAAACCCAGAGTTCAGACCCCAGAACTGCTTAAAAAAAAGAAAGACAAGATAGGAAAGAAAGAAAATGGGGTATTGAAGTCTCCAAAAATTATTACTAGTTATTAGCATACATTAATGATACAAATAATGGGTTTTGTTATGACATTTTCATACATATACTTATTTGCTCCACATTACCCTTTCTTGTCCACCTCCTCCCTCCAGCTGGTCCCTTTCCTCTCCCCAAATAGTCAACTTTCTACTTTTTATGTCATTTTATTTCATCTAGATTCCACATATGAGAGAAAACATGCAATCTTTCATGTTGTTGAATATATGTATGCCCTTAGAGCCATTTCAAGTACTATAAACAGTGGTGGTAATTGTTTTATAAATTTCTTCATTTTCACTGGGGAATGGGATCAGTGGATGTCCTCATTCTTTCATGCAGGAAATTGATTTCTCCTCCCTATTTACTTTTTTTTTATAGTAATGGGGCTTGAACTCAGGGTCTTTACCTTGAGCCACTCCAGCAGCCCTTTTTTGTAATTTTTTTTTTTTGAGATAGATTCTTACAAACTATTTGCCAGGGCTGGCTTCGATCCTTGATCCCCCCTGATCTCTGCCTCCTGAGTAGCTAGGACTACAGGCGCCAGCCACAGGTGTCCAGCTTCCCATTTACTCTTTACTCACCAAAAAGCCTTC